TATATATATATATATATATATATATATATATATATATATATATATATGTATATATGTATATGTATATATATGTTTGGATTACATGCTAAAGGTGCTTGCTGAAACCTGATAAAGTTCCCTGAGTATCTGAACAACTGTACAGATCAAAACAAACACACACACAGGTGCAAAACCTCTGAAGGTTTAATACAAAATTTTGGGAGCATCAGTCCGTCATTGGTGTATTATGGGTGATAAGGAGCTTTTGCTCTTTTTTTTTTTAATTGTATGGAGTTAAATTTCCATACAATAAAAAATACATTATAAAGGGTCTAGAAAACTTGAGAAAGCTAAAATATATTCATGTTAATTACAGTGTCCTTTGCGTAGAGTATTTCTGCTAAACTTTTTTCAGTATGGCACAGTGATCACTTATGTTGCTTAGGTTCTTTAAATACGGATGAAAACACACAAAAAATTCCAATCTAAGTGCAAACAGAGATCTGCTCCATACATATTTCATTCTTTCTGATTAAATGCTTCTGTGCCTTAATCAGATGAATTTCATAGCTTTTCAGATGTGTAAATGTTTTGTAAAGCATGCAGTGCTGGCACTAACCATTTTCCCAAAGGTATGAAACATAAAATAAAGACAGAGTTTTATGACAGCACAGAGAGAAAGTCAGAATTTGGGTATGCAGTGCTGTTTGGTAGCAGTCAAAGAAGCAGTGAGCATTAGAGAGTGACACTTCGTAGCACGTTTGTAATCAGAGCACAAAGCTGCCATTGCTGTAGCAGCCTCCTAGAATAAAGGACACAGATCTGAGGGAAAACGGGCTTTGTTGCTTCCATTAAAATACTGCGTTACTGTCTCAGTCAGTGCAATTTTAGAAGCAAGAAAGAGCTGATGAGGTCTCCTTTAGGTTATAGATGTGCTTCATTCATCTGAAATGAGTGCTGAGTGTTCATAAAAAAAGCAGAATTTGGAGTGAGTGATTCATGGCAGTGTGACATTTAAGAAGGCTACATAACTAATTTTAAATTGACAGGGCCTGTGCTAGCTGGCTAGTAATATATGTGTTCAGTCATCAGGTTTCCAACGTGTATTTTGTAAGGCACGCTAAATAGGAGAGTGTTTTTCAACAAAAACCTGTCCTGAGTGGCACCTGACCATTAGAAATGTATAAATTATGCTAAGGGCCAAGAAGGATCCTGAGGTTTGCTTGGGCTTTCACCTTGGAGGACCTTAAGTGAAGTGTGGAGCAGGGGATGTGTTTTCTTGTAGAACCTCATATATGGTTATGGCTATATGGGGTCATTGCTGTCATGTTGCTATGTGACGTTAGGGGGAGTTTTCACTTGTTGCTTAAAATATGTAAGTAGGTTTAGTGTTTGGTATGAAGAATTGGTGGGTAAGGTCTCATCTGATTTGATTTAAAATTTTGAGTAGTGTATCGTGTCACTCTGATCCAGTTTGTCATGTACGAATAGGTATAATGTTAGCAGTGTTGTCTTCTATGGATACAACTTGAACTTTTCACTTTTTGGAAAACAAACTAAGCTTTTTAGCAGCCACTAGGAAGAAGAATAAGACTACCCTCAGCAGATACATTTCAGCCACGTATTTATTTCTGACAGTTACATTCTTTTAATGAAGTTTGGGGGGGTGAGGGGGAGAAGTTATGTTTCAGCTTTATTTTTTAAACCACGTGGACATAAGCATCTTCTCTGATTTCATACACGATTGGCAAAAATCATTACAAGTTGTCATGAGCCTGAGGATCTTGGGCTGCTGCAGAACTTAATTTCTGTCTATTGTTTTGGCAAGGCTTTGGTCTTTTGGACTGCTTTGCTTTCTTCCACGTTCTTTTCAGTTCCAGACAATACGTTTTCATTTTCCATCAGGATGTGTGCCAGCCAGAGGCCTCAATATACAAAAGCCATTTAAGTACTTTCCTTCACTGTAAATTTCAGGAAAACAGTTGGATAACATCTAAATCCTGTAATTTTCCTAAAAACTCTGAGTTTATGAGGTTATAAAGCATTGCCTCTCTTGTAAGCTAGCAGCATCTTGTATGTGCTGTCCTGGAGAAAAAACACGTTTTTGTGTTGGAGAAAAAAACGTCTATTGTTGCTTGTTTTTAAAGACCATATTGTATTTCAGCATGGGAAATGAAGTAAGTAAGCTGAAGTTCTGAAATCTCTGCAGCCACCAGGAAAATGCTGTAGTGAAACACCATCCCTGCTGCAGAGCCCACAGGACAGGATGGGAAATAATGAATCAGGCTAAATGTAAGCAGCAAAGAGAATTGCAGGAGTTTTTGTTAAGTGCTGAAAATGAAGTAGTCTGGGGAACTGATAGCAGCATTACTAAGAAAATACCAAGAAATCAAGCCTTTAACTCAGTTTGAAATAGACCCGCACCAGTGTCGCCTACGTGGTTGCTACAGCATCCATTAAATTCATTGCTGCCTACTTAGTCTTAAGCTTGTTGTCTTGTGTTCAGCTTTGCAGTGATAAGGCTGATTGTTACTTTATTTTTCATCTTAATTTTTCACTACAAAACTGTACTTCTTAAAATTTATGGATGAGGGTTTTTATTTACTCTCTACCAGAGAGGGAAATGCTTGAGCCAAAGGGATGGTTCTTGGAAACTTGAAGTTTTGATAGCCAAATGTGTTTTGTTATCTGTGTGTGGCTAAATGGGTGTCACTGCTTTCTTCAGATGCAGACCCTGCTCACATATCTCTGTCTCCAGACAAGGGCAGCTTCACACACAGAGCACAGGGCTGTCTTGAGTTACGTGAGCTGTAGTTACTCATTACCCCCAGGCTTGGTGGCTTTTAATCCTAAACAAAGTTTTCAGTACGTGGTTTGGTCACCGTTCATTTGGTTAACAACTGCAAACATCTCCTAGAATTAAATATTTATGGGATTTGAAGTATTCTCCTTCTGAGGAGAGCCTTCTATCTGAATGTGGAAGTGCAAATTTCTGAAATCCCTGGGTAACTTGGGCTTATTCTTTGACCAAATACTCAAATAAATGTGAAGGGAGGAGAAATAATTTTAAAGAAACTTCTTAATCTATTAAATTGTTTGAGCGCTTAGTTATATAAGCAAGCATCTTCCTGCAGCGATATCAGTCAATATGTAATGCTGTTTTAAATGTGCCCATGTGTATTTGGAGGAGCTCAGTTTTGGCCATTTTCGGAATCTCCGCTTTAAGCTTTATGGTGTGTTGTTTGATTAATTTAGCAGCTAATCATTGCTCACAGGGTGCCTTTCTGTGGCTCATCTGCCATCTCCTTGCTTGACTTCTCAAGTGAAATAGTTCGGGTCTCTCCCCTCCTGTTTTGCAATGTTTCACATGTCAGTGTGAACAAGCTGCTTTGTATTTAGCATTCAGACAAGGTGGTGAAGGTACTAAATATTGCCAAAACAGCCGTTGCATTTGAAACTCCTTGAAGCAGGCAAAAAACCTCAAATTATATTTTCTACATGGATGAGTGTGCTGTATCTTTTGTTGAAGTTCGCTTTCATAATTCATACACTGAACTGAATTGTTGTGGTTCTAGTTTGTGTAATTTTATATTAAGAGACCGAAGATAAAATCATGCAGATATTATGTGGGCACTTGTGACTGAGCTGTGCGTAAATTTGGGGGGCTTTCTTTCTGTCTTTCTTCAGCTCTTTATGGTTGCGTTACGTGAGACATAACAAATGGTGTCATTTGGGAGACTTGAATTGCACAGTACTCTCTGGGCTAAACTAAGATATATTGCTCTATTAGAAAGGGTTTTTTTGTGTGCCATCTGCCTCCCAGCATAGCATCTCCACTCACTAATTTTACAATATGTTGGTGTTTGTTTTTTTTTTCTGAAAGGTACACCACAGCCAATGCTGAGTCTGATTATGACCGAGAGTCTGAGAAGGAGAGTGAAGAAGGGGAGGATGAACTGAGCTGTGAAACAGTGAGAACAGCAAGACGGGATTCCCTGGATCTCATCAACGAGGATGAAACGCATTTAGTCCTTGATTCCTTGCAGGATGAAGGACTGAGCCAGCTACTGCAGCAGGCAGATCACTTGCACAGTGGTGATGAGCAGGAGAAGAGAGAGGGATTCCAGCTGCTGCTGAATAATAAACTGGCGGTAAAAGTTGCCTTTTTGTATTTTCCAGCAGTGATTTGTGACTTAGCTACATAGCTGGGAAAGAGGAAATAGCATTTCTTAGCGGGGTCCAGTTCTACACAACGACTGGGACAGTTTCCAGTTGCCGCCTTTCTCAGGAGCAGCTTGAAACAGGCTGAAGACCAAAACTGCTCAGGCTGCAGCAGCAGACAGTTCCAGTTGCCTGACCTGGAGTTCCACGTCTCCTCATGTCATCTCTTTCCCTTAGACAATATGTTGTGCATGTGTGAGACAACAGTATGTCGTAAGCTCAGTAAACTTCTAGAGAGCATTGATAGCACCATGTTTTTGTCACCTTAAAGCTAGCGTGGTGATGTACCCTGCACTGAAATGTGACTGAATGTGACTGCAGCTGGTTCAGGCATGCCTGTGTCTGGAACTGTCATCCTCTGTTGGTGCTTTCTTAAGCCAGTGAAGGCAGCTTGTCAGGTTACCAGCCTTTTAAGCAAAACTTCTATTATTTCTGTATATAACAGGGGGAAGGTATTAAAAAAATGGTTTGTGGTGAGTTCTTATTCCAAGGAAATTCTTCTTTCCTTCCCATCAGAAGTAAATGGGAGCCCATCAGCTTCTCACATTATTTTATATGCTTCCTGTATTTACAGTGCTGTTGTAACATAAATCAGACTGTTGGGTGGCTGTGTTTCTAAGGGGTTTTGTTGTTGTTCTTGTTTTTCAAGTAAACTAGCATTTGTCAGAACACAGCTACTCCAAAATCGTGGTGTACCTATAGTACAGCATCTGGTTCAAGAATGATCCAAGAACTGAATATTTGAATGCTGGCTGACACATGGAAACGGTACTTTTAATCTGAGGTTGTTTCTTTTTTCCAGTGTTTTGAGATTAGTGGACACTGCTTAAAAAAGAATGGCCCCAGTATGGCCTTCAGAGTGAAGGAGCAGTCTGCTGGAAGACAGCAGTGATTAGATCTGTTCCTTAATTATTAATTTGGCTACTGTTTGCTCTTTTTTGGCTCTGCTTCAATTCTCATATTGAGGACTTCTAAAGTTTCAAAAAAATGTCCCTACAACTGCCAGTATGTATCCTCATTTGATTTTTTTTTTTTTTTTTTTTTCCTTCTGATACTCTTTGTCAGTGGTAGAATGGATAGTTTATGTAGCTGATGCATCTTATTTATGTTTTTACTGCAGTATGCAGACCAGGGAGACTTTCTTTGGCGCCTAGCCCGAGCATATAGTGACATGTATGATATCACAGAAGACACAGATGAGAAGAAATCATATGCATCTGATGGTAAGGAATTGCGTGCTCAAAGGCAAGGAAAGGTGCAATTCAAACCTGTGTTAAAATGTTGCTTTGTTAAAGGCAGTGTAAGTAGACCAAGGGCTTATGTAAAAGTTTGTTTGCCAAGCCTATTTCATATATATCCTGTCTGATAGTAAGGTAAGTAAGTTTATGCTGTAATCCGTTTAATTTTTTGTTGTTGACACTAGCAAGTATAACAAAAACAAAGTTTAAAATGTGTATTTCTTATTGAAGTCCATTCAATTTTGTTTCTTCATTCTCCTCTATTTCAACTGTAATTTGTGTTCAAGATTGTAGATGGGTCAGCAAAAGCAAAAAATAATCTTTTTATGTTAAAGGTGTGCAAGAAAAGATAAAATAATCTCTATCTAGTGTACAACTAACTAAATAGAATTGTTTAATGCTGTAACAGTATAATTGGTTTTTTGGAGATCATTGTAGCCTTTTGCAATGTGAAATTTTAACTTCTGTTCTGATACTTTCTGTGCTGTTTATAGGTGCTTAGTTCCCCCTTTTTTTTTGAGACTGGAAGCTCTTGAAGGAAGGGGGCAAGTGTGGCAAACTAGATCAAAAGCTGTGAAATGAATCAGATTAAAACCATTGCAAACTCCTGCAAACTCCTGTTTTCTCATCACGTTGAGGAAGATATTTTCATTACATGTGAATGTACTTTCAAACATGGTGAAACCATATTGACAGGTTAACATAATTTGCTACTTAAAATTTGCATGAACTCTTTAAGAGGTTTTGGATACTCGGTATTGCTGTGAGAGTGTGACGTTTTGTGAGGATATGGTTTCACACTGGGAGTTCAGCTCTGCTGTGTCACTCTCTGGCTCTTCCTCCTCAAGAAAAGAGGGAAAAAGTAGGATGACAAAAAATCCTGTGAGTTAAGGACAGGGAGATCACAAAGACCAGCGAGAACTCCAAGCAAATTAAAATTGCCTTTCCCCCATCCACCTTCTATGTCCTTAAAGCAGAGAAGGGGAACAGCAAATGGGTTTTGCAGTCAGTCCAGAACACCTTGTCATCCCCTGCTCCTTCATCCTCACTCTCTTCTCCTGTTCTGCCATGAGCTGGAGAACTACTGCTCAGGAGTACCTCCTGCCCTCCTTCTGCACTGACCTTGGCTGATGCAGGGCTACTGTTTCTCCCAGTTTGTTGCTCCCTCACAGCAGTTTTTGCCCTTTTTTCAATGTGATTTCTCAGAGGCATTCTGGCTGGTGGTGGGTCCCTTTAGGATCTTGCTCTTAGTTAACAAGGGGCAGCTGCTGGGCTCTGCTCACCCCTCCTACAGCTCCTGTTGCTACCAGAATCTTGTCACTGAAACCCGGTACAACAGAATGTTTTTGAGCCCAATATTATAACACCAACAAATATATAACTTTTCATGCCATTCTGTTATTGTACCCTTAGCAACTTTAAAGAAAGAAGTTGAAAAGTGACTGAGTTTCTTATTTGCAGGGAAAGAAGAGCTGCAGATTGCCTTTCAGAAGTGGGATCAAAGTGCTGAGTGTCATCAGTGGTATGTAACTCTGAATTTTGTTTTTAAAAAACAAGGGGACTGCTGTGAGCTGACCTACATTTAAAAACTTGGAAAAAATAACAGAAAGCTCATCTGCGTTTAGTAGGAATGTGCTACTGATGCTATTTTTATCTGTTGAAAAGACACTTTTACCAGCTTTGGCTAACTGTCATAAGTAATGTCTTGATAGACAGCAGGTTTTGTTGCAGTTATAAACTTTGTTTCGCTTTGTTTCTGCCTCTTTAATTATGAATTTGTCTGTGACGAGATGAAGTTCTCTGGCAGCATGAAGGCTTCTGTGCATCTGTGCCCAGCAAGGCAGACTGGTGGTGGTGGTAGTGAAGCTGTTTGGGCTTGAAGAAATACAATGGGTTTTAGGTGAATTAATACAATGAGCTCTATTAAGTTTAGCTCCAGTGTAAATTCAGCAGGCTAAAACTGCCTTGTCTTTGGTATGCTTATAGGCTCAGTGCACTTATTTTACAAAGGTGAAATGAATGAAAATTTGCTTTAGAAGCTTTTCAGGGAATGCTAAAATAGAATGTGGAGGACGATTTACTTAGCAGCTGGCTTTTGGGCTCCACATCTGTGTCTTTTGGCACAGAAACTCCATCAACACCACTTGGTTATTGTGCAGATTCTGGGAAAATGCGTATTTGAACATCCTGAGTGTAGAAGGGCTGCCAAATAATGTTTGATGCAGATAAGTTGCAGCGAGCTAGTTCCTGAGTTTGAACCCTCAGTATGGTGAGGCTTGCTTTTATTTGACAAGTCCTCTGTTTCATTTGGTCCCTTTCCAGATCCCTGTAGAGTGAGATGTGTATCGTTGAAAAGCAAAGCTCACAGCCAGCTGCACAGCTGTGGGGACAGTCTTGAGAGTTACATATTAAATATGCATTATTTTTACTTAGTGTTCCTCCAACACTCTTGGGTTAATTATTGATATTTCAATCTGTTACTGATATTTCAGTAATGCTTTTCTGCACACAGATGCTTGCTGTTTGTCAAGAGTGATGTATTTGCCTCAATCAGTTAGGCCTGTTAGCATGGGCTCAGTGCTGTGCCAGTGTTCTTCCATTCATCTTAATTCTGGAAGAAGGAGAAACATTATTCTCAAAAGATTTTTAGTCTTCTGGAAAGTGTCTAATGGCTATAGTCTGATCATGTGTGCTGCTTGTCACACCACAGAGCACTCTGGCTTTGAAGTGTGTTGAGATAACAGTAGTAGCACCATATGGCTTTCTTTGTTATATATCAACGTGTAGATTTCTTTTTTGCATGAGAAAAGATGAAATGATCTGTAATTTAACCAAGCAATATCCATGTAAATGCTCCAGCTGCTAGGATTTCAATATGGAGGTAGGGAAGCATTGAGGTACATAAGCACAAGGAGGATGTAGAGCTGTTGTAGCAGGTCCAGGGGAATCCATGACTGACATTTAAAACAGAGCAAAAGTAAAATGGATGGTTTTTATTAGAAGCTGTTGGGTAAACAGGATGAAGAGTGTCTCTGCCAATCAGCATCCATGCTCTTCTCAGATTACAGTAATTTGACAGTTGGACTCTGATCTTGGAGGTCTTTTCCAACTTCGGTGATTCTTTGCATCCTTGATTTGGAGGACGGGTTGGATTGCCGACCTCTAAATAAAAGTATTTATCATCTTGGAAATATCATGCTTTTTAACTCCTAATAATTGAATGCTGTTCTCAATTAAAGCTTTGATATGAATCAAAGGAGAGACAACATAACCAATTCCTAGCATGTTATGGGGCTTGGTGTTTTCTGCTAGGCGAACATCTTGAAAGAATCTGGTTTTGTGTGTTATTTCTTGTGGCTTTTATGTTGTCTTGAAGTTTCTAAGTCACTTTAGTATCTGAATTTTTGACATTTTTCAAAGCAGGGTTCTAATTCAGGATATAACATTGATAGCTGTATAATCGATGGATATCAAGATGTTACAATCACAAAATAAACAAGAGAGTTAGTCGAAGTGGACTACGATAACAAGAGAGAATAAATGGAGGGCTTACCCTTATGCTGGGCTCACCACAAAACAACAGAAGGAGGGATCTCCAGACAAGGTCCTTCCCCACTGGTAGCCAGCTCTTAAATAGGTCTAGGAGGGGTGGAGCCAGGCTCCATCCCTTCCGGCAGCACAAGTGAATTGCCTTCACCTATGCTCCTCTGGCTGACTCATGGCTTGCCTCAGGTGATCAATCAGAGAGAGATTCAGGCTGTGACTCAGTAGTTCCCATACAGTAGCTTAGCTCTGTCATTCAGAATTGTATTGTAGCTGTAATGGGATGTTCAGTCGTGTTTCTAATATAAAATGCCAGGCCTTGGGATCTGAGCACACTGCTGTGTGTTCTCTGAGTTCTCTGTACCTGTATTACAACTTACTCTTCCCTGAACAGCTTTAGTTAAAGGGTGCACAGTTCTTGTCCTGTTGGACTTTTTTGCGAACAGAGGTAGGCCTCTGCACATCAGCTTCTTGCTGTTAATTATGGAGAACAGCTGCAGAGAGGGTTGCTGGAAAAAGGAAATAGCAGAGCAGCATGTGGGAGGCCCAGGATTTATTGGAAATGAATATGTGACTACCGTGATCAGTTGCAGGAATAATTACTTGCTGTCATGAATAGAATAGGAAATTACTCCCTTTTCAGCTCTGTCTGGGTCATGGGATGGTCACGAGCTGTTTTAATTACAGCCTCTCCTTACATTAATTAATTTAATATGGCAAAAAATTATCGCTAATGAAATGATGCTTCATACATCCAAAGATATATCTATATCTAAAAAATGTAGGGTAAATCCTAATTCCAAAAGACACTGTAGTTTGATTTCCCTTTACTTGAGTAATGAGTAATGCTTAGAATCGAGTAAAGCTTATAATTACTTTCAGTTCACCACACTATCTGTTTAGGAAAATGTGTGTGGAATGGGGAAGGAGGGGGAGAGAGAGGAAGAGAAAGTAGATAATGATGACTTCCTTTCAGTTTGTAGTCCTTAATTCCTGCAAGCAGGAGCGCAGAAGTGAGTTTCCTGACAGATGATGGCAATCCTCTGGTACAGATTTCATATATTCTTCATGCCTGTGACACAAACCATCCCCTGCTTAGTTGGCTTTAAGCTTGTTAAGCAGGATGGAACATGCTCTGCATTCAATCTAATAATTGTTGGTAGTGAAGCTTATTTTTCCTCTGTCTTATGGTTATTGCAGTAATGAGTGACATTTTAAAGCAATAAGGGAAGAAAGAAATGCTATGAACAAGAAGGCACTGCTGAGAGCTGGCTGAGGCAGCAGCGGTTGGAGCATGAATGGCTGCAGCCTGGGATGCTTTGTGACTGCGAGGCTTTGGCAGCATGAAAGTGCTTTCTGAATGAGAGGGAAAGCAGTAAGTGTCTGGGACTGTCTGAGCTAACCTTGGGATCTGCCCAAATGCAGAGGAGAAGCCTTGCATGGATCTCCTGGGTCTTCTCAACATTATATTTGGTACAAAGCTGCTTTTGTGGTTGTTTGCTCTTGGAACCCAGCTGGTCCCAAAAGAGCCATCTCTGCAGAGCTGGCTGAAAGAGAGCTGAGATGTGATGAGTGCAGCACGGATGAGTCAGCTTGTGCACAGCAGGATTGATCTCTGGCTGTGTTTTCCTTGCAGGCACCATTCTGGAATACAGAAACATGTAAGGGTTGTTCTGAGTGTCCGACATATGTAGTGCCTTTAGAATGGGCTCACATGAGAGCTGATGAATGCTTTACCAAGTGTTCTTATGCCCGTGTACTCCTGTCGTGGTATTATCTCATTCTTATTTTTTGATACCGACATAAATATAATTCTTTTGCTGTAATTGTGAAAGATCTCTGATTACAGAATCATAGAATCATTAAGGTTGAAAAAGACTTTCAAGATCATCACCACTACGTCCAGCCATCTAACCGTGCCCATTAAACCATGTCTCACCATGATCAGGTAGATACGATACCCAATTAAATAATTTGCATAGTAAATACATTTCAGCTCATGAGTAGAACAGCACAGACTTGTAGGTTTGTTCTTGCTTGCTATTAGAGATGGATGGAGATAGATTGTTTTACAAACCCATGCATTTTGCTGCTTAGACATAAGTGTGTGACATCCTCATGAATGAGGTGAGAGAAAAGCTTAATCATTGTTAGAATCCCCTACCCATTTTGGCATGTGTTTGTAATGCAACTTCAAGCACCTAACAGCAGCCTTAAAGTTCAAGATCAGGATTTAAGTCTTTGTGGATTGCTGTCCAGAACTGATTCATTTTGAGCTGTGCCTCAATTTTGGGCTGAGCTTTTCTTGTGTTGCCCAGGTGGTTTAAACAGGGGATTCTTTCAGTTAGGGACAGAACAGAATACAGCAAACAGGAATAGACAAGGTATTTCAGCATACACAGGAGGAAGAATAGCATGCAGTAAGAGCAGCTGATGGCGTTCCCCATTTTCAGGAAGGTCCTTCCCTTCTATAAGGCTGTCAGCATCCTGAGTGTCTCTGTGTCCTGAGCCCTGGAGATGCTAGGGCTGATGAAGAAGAGCCAGGGAAGAGGAAAGCTGTGAAAACTATGGGCATGAACAGAGGGATAATTTCAGCAGGGATAATTTCAGCAGGGATAATTTTCTTCCTTTTTTTCACTCCTTTTGGAGACAGTGAAGTAAGTTGACATTTACAGTGTGTGGGTTGCTTTTTATCTGTTAGACAAGAAAAAGGAGATGTCTTGTTTAAACTGAAACAAAGGCTGTTGGCTACAAATTGCCCCCAACATGTTCCCTTTTTTTTTTTCCATCTCTTGAGGGACACTTATAATGAAAGTGGTGCAAAGGGAAGTGTGTAGCATGGAAATAATTTTGAGTTTCTGTACCCTGTTCCCATGAAAAATTTAGCCACTGTTATTTCTCTAGAATGTAATCCTTTGTTCCATGCTTGCTGCTGGAGAGCAGCAGGTGATGTTAATGAAATTTTCAAGTATTAGTCAT